ACCGGACCTTGTTGAAGTGTGTCCAGTGATACTGGGAACATTAGCAGTGGTCGGTTTGCCCTATCCTGAGGGTCAGAGAATCATGGTCACTGAGGACAATATGGTTCTAGTATTGTGAGTGCTGCCTTCTGGTCCTTGATCTTCATGAGCAATTTTGAAGGAACTGCTGACACTGGGAACTGCTGACACTGGGACGGGGGAGGTGATAGGCAAACATAGGTCACTTGGCCACTGGGATGTTAAGCCTCGGTCGCTTCGGCCAATGGAAGAAGAAACATGGTGGAGGACCAAGTCACTTGAAGCTTGTTTGATGATGTCAGGTTTTTCTCCACCCACGTTATGATCTTGATAGTTTCCTTGTGGTAGATGTTGTTGGTCAGGTTAGTACATGTTGACCAAGTATCTGTAGGCTGATGGTAAAGGAGGGCCAGATAAATTGTCTGACGTTCCAGGGGGCTTGCCTTGCTCCCAGACCACCAACCCTGTCCTGGTGAGCCTTCTACTGTTGTCCACAATCAGGCAGACTGGAGACTGAGAAAGATCTGCTTCACCTCCAAGATGCAATGTTTCCTTACCTGAAAGGGATTGAGCGTTCTTGCCCTCCCACTGAGACTGGTCTTTACTGTAAGGAAGCCCTGATGGAAAAGGTCCCCCCTTGGTCATAACTTGTAGTTGGAAATGTCTTGGAAGCTGCTGTAGTGGTCTAGTGTATAAGCAAGTTGTGACCATCCTGACTCCTAGGTGTTGTACTTTCTTAGTAGGTGCTAGAGAACTTAACTGAAGATTGACCAGGAATCTGTACTTCTGTAGACAGCATACAGTTGTTTCTGAGTCTTGGTGCACCTTGGCCACAGGGTTTGACCACAGGCTTTGATCTGATCAACAAGATCTACTGAAGTCAGATACTACTCTGACTGAAAGGACTCAGTGATGGATCTGGAGACTCCATTCTGAAATATCTTAATGTGAAATGTCTTAGTGTACTCTTGGGGTATTTTAAGACTAAACTGCCCTTCAATTTCCATTCCTTCTTGTCACCATGAAGGGGGAAATCTCGTCCCCCTTTTAAGGGAGGAACAGGTTCTATGGCCCGAATGTCAAGAAATGGTGTATAGTAGCAAGAGTTCTACAAGCTTTTTCTGACCCTTGTGTGTGTGGCGGGGGAGGCATGTGGTGTTCCAGTGGTGTTTGAGGAACTCCATGGAGTATCCTCTGGTAACATATTTGTAACAACCAATTGCCTGCCTGAGAGTCGAACTACATGTCCCGGAGTATAGAAAATGTGTCCCCCCACCACCAGAAGGGTTTGAAGTTATGCTTTGAATGGCTTATGACCATGGGTTGGTTTATGGTTTCTGCTAATAATTACTTGTTGAATGAACCTTTTCTGAAGGGTTGTCTGGAAGAATCCCGGTTCATTCTTCTGCAATCCTTGTGAAATCTCAGAAGGACACAGTGGAAACTAAAGAAGTAACTCCCAAAACTTCTCTTGTCAGAATGGTCTAGTATGTCAGGTTTCAATATAAGTCTTGTTGAGAGCGTCTCCAAATGGTCTGACATTTTAACAAGTATAGGTCATACCTATGGAGTTAGCATGTAGTGAGATGAGCAAAGGTGGTTTGCTATTGCCTGCTTTGGCAAAGCAACCCTGGACTTCCTTGATGGTCTCCCATTAAAAAAAAACAGTACTGATCCTGCTCACCTTCTGAGACCCGACAAGATCAAGATATCTTGGGTAATTCAGGTTAGGCATCAGTTGCCAAGCTCTGAG